TATATATAGTAAGGAGGCATGTGTGATGATTTTGTGGGAGTCTCAAAATCTACCCCATATGTTTACTCTCCAGTTTGACTCAGTCCATTTGGGCTACTGAGGTAGGCAGGCTGGAAGTCAACTTGGCAGTCCATAGAGTTAGATTCTCCCTTTCTGTTCTCCATTAATTGTTCATTCAATAAATCTTCTTTTCCAAAGTGAACTCTGCTGGTGGTCCTGTGAGATGCCCAGCAAGAAAAGAGTTCTATGGTCAAACAAGTTAAGTTCATGTATCGAGCTGCATTCCCCCATTGCTGGGATGGCATGTATAAGCTCTCAGATACTCTGCTGGGATGAAAAACAAAAACAAAACAAAACAAAAACATTCAAAAATTGTTTTAATCCTAGCATTTTTTAGAGAGATTTTTGCTATAGGGTGCGTACACTCACCAGAGAGACAGCGAGAGAGAAAGTGAGAAATCACTCCTGCCAAGGGGGATGGCCATGCTGCAATCCCTTCTCATCCATTCTCCTCTCAGGATCCTGGGCACGCATGCACATGTGCCCGGCATGAGTTTAAGTTGCCAGGTCTGGCACTTAAACTGCAATAGAGTATGTGGGAGCCCAGTGATGGAACCATTACACCATTTGTTGGTCCCCAACCCTAGCATTTTTAAAACCTCAGTACCCTTTCTGGTTCTTAACCCCTGAGGAGCCTTGGGAACTGAATTGGTATGCCCTGATTATGTGCTAGTCATTTGTAAGATTTGTAAGGGGAGTAGGAGCGCAATCCAGTATAAGGCATAATGTTTTGCCCTTATGTCTTATGACTCAATAAGCCATTTCATTTTAGAGCAATGAAGTAGATCAACTGAAACTGTCTGTCTCACTGGATCCTGTGAACCTTACACAGCCATATTCTAATTGGAATGTAAAAAGACATCAAACGTGTTGTTCTTTCTGTACTTCCCATCCTTATTGTTACTAGAAGTAGGGATGGAATTTTTAGGAACTCTTCATACCTTGATTCCCTTTGAAGCTACCAGTACTTGGTTACATTCTAGACTGCTGACTGAGGCCCTGGTGATGGCTCTACACCCTTCCTCTGGAGATTGCCTGGTCTACACTGAGGCACTCTGACTTGATACTCTAGCACAATGTTCTAACCTCAAGAACTAATCTGCCTTGGTGTAGAATGTCCGAGAAAGTGTTGCCTATGCAGACTTCTTCAGAGATAATTTCAGGCTTCTCTTGGCTCACTAATTCTGAGGAGAAATGAGCTTGCCATATGGGAAGAAGGGTTAAAGGGAAAGCTGTTGAGCAAGAAGGTAAAGCAGTTTCAAGCTTAAATGTGGGATGAAGATATTTTCAAAATAGTGAGTGCTCCAATTCCTATGGTCGAAGGGGAAAGTGCTGGGTTTTCGGGAAAGTCATGATGCATTTTTGCATAGGAAAACAGAAAAATATGTCATGACTTTCCCAACGACCTAATAATATCTAAGCAGACAGTCTACATGAATAGAAGCAGAATTTAATTGGATATTTCTTAAAGATTAAAACCAAAGTCTCAGAGATCCAGCAACCACAGAGCCAAGCTATTTCTGACTGTCAGATACACTCTATGTCAATCAAGCATCAAGCATTTCTAGTCCTGCCTACAAAATAGAATGTGCCATCTTGTAGCAAGGATGTTTTCAGAGCTCTTACTTTCAAACTCAAATCACACACACACACACACACACAAATACACACAAACTACCTGAATAACCTCAGAACAAAATACAATGGAACAAGTGAACAAACTAGCTATTTAAATAACGAATAGCAGGCTTGCAGTTCTGGCTGAAGTGGCTGGCCCATGGTCAAGTGGGAAAAAATTATGCTCATGATGAGCCATTTGTAAAGGAGGGATTCACAAATAAAAATGCAGGTGACAAAAGCCTGACATCTTCCCTCATGCCTATGTTCTATGAGTAAGCAGATCAATCTGTTATTGGAAAGAAAAAGGAAGGCTGTCAGGCGGAGAGGGAGAGCTGGCAGGCAGCTCATTGGAATTCACAGAATAACCTTTAAGTCTCAGAACTAACTAAACTCCCTGCAGGAAATCAGAGCAGTAATAGGTGCTTGATGTCACTGTTGTCCCTTGTTCATGCTGCAGCTAGAAGAGTTTTACCTGCTCTACGACTGAGGTTTGTTCTCATCAGATTGCTCTACCACCTTCCAGGTGGCTGCTGCCCAGAAAAGAGTGAATGAACATTGCTGAATCCTGCCATGGTTGTTTGGTTATAAATGGAGATAAAGCCCTCAGGAGAGTCAGTGAGACACGCCATTCCTTTTAGCCTCCAGATTGCTGCCTCCCACCTGGAATCAGAGAGGCTCAGGGCTGACGCCAGGGAACCAAAAGCTTCTCAATCTAACTTCTCATCCCAGTGACAGGAAGTCACTTGTTTTTCCCTGCAACTTTCTAGGGACTGGAGAACTCACCGTTCCATAAAGCAGACCATTTAGCTTCTAATCATCTCTGAACCTTATGCAGTCTTCCTTACACAAGGGAAGTATGGCACAGTAGTTAACACTTGAGATCGACAGACTGTCTGTATTCAGTCCTGATGCTCAATCTTAGCTCTGTGACTTGGGTCAAGTTTACTAGACTTCTTGGACTCTGAGGTTTCTCATCTGTTAAAATGAGACTAACAGCATGATGCCTATCATATAGTCACTGCATAGTAAACACTAGCTGTGATTTGTTATTACATGATTGTTCTGTGGTTTCCTCCATTGCTTCTAGTTCTAACGTAGTAACTACACAGAACAAGCCTGTTTTGTCCTTTCCATGACAGCCCTTTCAGATCTGTGACTAAAGATATCATCTCTCCTTACCCTATATTTCTCACTGCAAGTTTTTTCTTATCTAGAGACAACATCCCAGCTCTTTCAGTTTTTCTTGTTTCTTCTATTCTTAAGTGCTTCTGCCTGTCTTCATTCTCTTAAAACAAAGTCTCTCAAACTGAACATGGTGCTGGTGGGAGGTATGGCCAACCCAGGGCAAGATGACAGGAGACTCTCACCCATCTCAACTTAGATCTTTTGCTTCCACTAATGTCCTAGCTGAATTTAGCTTTGCGAGCATTTAGTATTGACTTGTGCTCAGTTTGCAATGAATCAATACCACTCAAATACTGGTCATTTACCTTCAGGAAAACTGACCAGTGTAGAGACAAGCTGAATCCTGTTTAAAGAGCAAAGGTTTCCAAACTGCACTTGGACCAAAATAAATATTTTGAAGCCCAAGAAGGTACTGCTAAGATTGCAGAAGATTGTGAGACTTTGTGTATCAAGTCCTCAGAGTTCAGGTCGAAACAAGTAGCTGTTGAGCTGCTGCGTGTAACACTGAAAGCAAAGGCAAAAGTGATATAAAGATGAAAAGGAAACATGTTAGCCCTCAAAGACTTGACAGCTGAGGGCAGTGGAGTGTGCTATATATGGAGTATAATATGGCTAAGTATGGCAGATATGGTAAACACATTTATGGGAGTTCAGAAGTAGGAAAGATTAGTTTTTGTCTGAGGCATCTAGAAAGGCTTTGTGGATAAAGACTTTTCATATGGACAGTAAATAGAAGTTAGGCTACTGACAGGAGTTAATTGTACCAATCCCATCCTCAACTTTAGGAAAACCCAACTGGTCCTCTATGGAATTTGCAATCTGGCTCATTGTAAGTCCTACTTTTATTTCCCAAGGAGATTTTTTTAAAATAATTTTTAAATTTAACTTTATTTATTTATGCATTTATTTATTTTTAATTCAACCAGAGAGAGAGAAAGGGAAAGTGAAAAAGCAAACTTCCATTTCCGGGATTTGAACCATTGTCAGCCATGTGGGAGTCCAGCGCTCTTAACCACCAAGTCACCTGCTGGCCCCCAAAGGAGGTATTTTAGAGTATGAGGATGATAGCTGGTCAGTATACCATTGATAAATGGTGAATATCTTCAGTATCCCCTTTCCCTTTGCAAGACAAAATCAGTACTGGCAGTAGAAATTGAGGACACCAAATGCATGGTTTCTACATGGTGTAACTATGCCAAAGAGTGTTAATATTAGTTTATATTAGTTATTTGTTGCTGTGTAACAATTTTTCCCCATTTTAGCAACTTAAAACAATAAACATTTATCATTTTACACAGTATCTGAGGGTTAGCAATTCAGGAGCAGCTTAGCTGCCTGAGTGTTTCTGGCTCATGGAACCTCATGAAGTTGCTGTCAAACTGTCAGATTGAGCTACCCTCACCTGATGGCTTGACTGGGGTTAGGGGATCTGCTTCCAGGAAGTCTCACTTACATGGCTATGGACTGGAAGGCTCAGTTTCTCACCAGGTGAGCCTCTTCACATGGATGCCAAGATGTTGTCAAGACAAAATATTTGGTGTCCTTCAGAGTTAGTGATCAGAAGGAAAGAGAGAGAGGCTTTAGCATTTTTTTATAACCTAGTCTTGGAAGTAACATCTCTCACTTGGGCCATATTCAACTGATACAATAAGTTGTGAGCAGCAGGATGTGGGAATCACGAGATAGTTGTCTCAGAGACTGGCTACCATAGCGGGCCTTATCGCTCATGCTCTAAAATGGACACTGGCCCAAGAGGGAAAGCAGTGGCTGAAATAAAATCTTTGATACAGACCTTCATGTCATCACTGTCTTTGGAGGTTAGAAAGAGGAGATCAGAAAGCCAACAATGGTCCTGAGGCTTCCTTGAAAGTAGTATCTACGGGGACAAGAGCAGGCCTAAGTCTAGGCATTGGTGATGGCTGGTGAAAGAAGCTGAAAAAGACTGACTTTCTTCTTCTGACTTAGGATTCCTCATTTTTGTGTTTCACTGCTTGATGAAGGAGAGTGTACGGGAGCAATGGCAGATACACCTCTGTTGTGGGTGGTTGCGACTGGATAACTCTTCTGGTAAGATGCCAGCTTGAGTAAAGTTTTTATTTTTACATGTTTTACAAAATTTATCAGATTAACTTGTCTCCTAACTTGAGTTCATATGGCATCAGCATCAAAATAGAGGCTGTTTCCATGTCATGGAAACAATTTGTGCTTTTGTGTGGGAATGAATGAAGCCAAGTGAAGAATGTGACATGAGCTATATTTTAACCTCATAAAACTTTTGTTTTGGCTCAGAATCCCTGGATTTTTTGTCCTTGCTGTCACTTCAGTCTTGATTTAATTAAAGGGACATTGATTTAGTACCTACTGTGTTCCAGGCATTGAGTTGCAGGGGTTTCTTGCTGGTATTCACCAATAGGTTGAGTAGATGTGGGAGGCAAGGAGTGGTGGTGAATGTGGAGAGAATTTAGCATTCCTAAGCTTCCAGTGGGCTGCTTGGGTGGACTGAAGACTCTTTCTGCAAGGTAGGAGATATAGTGGACTCTGATGTTGCCTTTTAATACTGGTACTTCCCTTGACAATATCTTTAGTGCAAGAAAACTACTGTTCTTTGTATCAAAAGAATCATCCACCCAATTCAAGCAGCCTCTCCCAGGCTAATATAAAGCCTAATCTATTTCCTTTAGTGAAGGCAGCATTTGAACTCTGTAATTCTGTAAGTAGTGCTGAGGTCTCCATCCTCTATGCTGTGCATGTCAGTAACCTGCTGGTTCTTGTGCGCTAGGAAAAGCAGGCTTCTTTCGTAAGTGAATTGGCTCGCCCTGTATCACACATTACAGTATAAATAAATTGCTCACAACTTCATAGAAAAACTGACTCCATGAGATACCCAGATTGAACGTGGTGTGCAGTGAGCTTTATATATTTTTTTAAAATAGTTATTGAGATATAATTTACCCATTTTAAGTACAGAATTTGATGACTTTTTATTTTAAACTTGTTTTGGTGTCATTGCAGATGGGGGCAGCAGATGTGGAATAAATGTTGGGTATAACCAGGAGAGACTGACGAAAACACTTGAACGCAAATTGTTGATGCCATCCCTCAAATCAACTGCAACTAGTTCTACTTTCAAATCTTTAGGCTCTGCACAAGACCCTTCTTCAGAAATATGCTTCCAAAATGGTGAGAAAAAAGGGCTGCGTTATCTACATTTATATTCTAGAGATATTAAATTAGGTGTGCCCATGAGCTAGGTCTTGGATAGTATTTACTCCTCAAAACCCAATCCACATGTGCATGTATACACCTGGGCTTATTTTAGTGTGTATAGAAGCTCCTAGTGAACTTAGTATGTACAAATCTGATAGATTATTAGACTGATGGGGGAGAGAAGTAATTGGAAGGCTAGAAAATTAATCACGAATCGAAAACAATTGTAACAGAATGTTGAAACTAGAAGGAACCTTAGACATGATTTAGTCCAATCCCTTCATTTTACAGATGAACAAAATCATGGAAAAAGAAAATGCCTTTGGGAATTCAGCCCATTAGCAGAAGAAATGGGTACAGAACTCAAGCCTTTTTTACCTCAGGGCTATTGCACTCTGCTGAGAATACTCTCAAAACTACACATTACTCTTAGATGCTTGCCTTCTTCCATAGGAAGCCATATTTCTAGGTAGAGACATGTTGAGCTGGGGATGGAGTGTTGGAAGGGAAAACATAGGGAAAGGACTGATTTACATCCTTAAAGAGAAAGGTGAAGTGAACAAGAACTCAGTAACTTCAAGTTAATGTGTGATTACTGTGTGTTCTGTGCTTCTAGTCAGATGTTGGTGTAAGGGTCTTAGGTTTCTTCTTTTCTTCTTCTCCTCCTCCTCCTCCTTCTCCTCCTCCTCCTCCTCCTCCTTCTTCTTTTTTTTAATAGAGATTTTTTTTATAGGGTGTATGTGCTCTCCAGAGAGACAGAAAGTGAGAAATCATCCCCTGAGGGGATGGCTACTCCACCAGTCCCTTCTCTTCTATTCTCCTTCCGTGATCCTGGGCACACACACGCACCCAGCGTGAGTTTTAAATTGCCAGGTCTGGGACTCAAAACATGGTCAATCACGTATGAGTCCAGCAACATAACCGTTATGCCATCTGCTGATCCCAGATTCCCTTTCTTAAGACTTTAGTTAGGATTGATGGGGTAATGGTTACATCACTGGACTCCCATGTAGTTGACCGTGATTTGATTCTTGGACCAGTTGGCTTGAAGCACACACTGGGTGCATGTGCATGTGTGCCCAAGATCCTGAGAGGACAGTGGAAGAGAAGGGATTGTGGCATAGCCATTTCCCTTGGAGGGTTATTTCTCACTTTGTGTCTCTGTCTCTCGCGAGTGCACGCACCCAATAGCAAAACAAAACAAAATGACCTCTTTCAAAAAAAGAAAAAAAACCCTGAGTTCACACACACACATATACACCACCTTTGGTGGCCTTGCTGTAGACATTATCCCACCTTCTCAGTGCTGGTGGTAGGATGATTGCTTCATCCACTTGAATTTTTCATTATGACTCTAAAAGCTAGTTCTATTGCCAAGAGATGAAACCAATCTGGAAGCAACATGATGAAAAAAAAAAAAAACAACTGAACTTGAAGTTAGAAGGCTTTGGATCAAGTCCCAGCAGTGTCACTAATTCTGTGACCTTGGGCATATCACTTCCCTGCTCGGGCTATATTCTCTCTCCCTTTAATATGAAGATACTGGAATGGATTATCTTCAGTGTTCCTACCAGTCTTAAGACTGTGCAAGGCAATGCTATTTTCTAGGTGAGGCTGGTTGACTAATGTATGAAGTCTCAGTTTTCATCTTCATACGGTAAAGCGAGCAGTGTACATGAGAAAAAAACTTCTTTCTGGTGACAAACATCCATTATACTCTGGCAGACAAACTTGTGGACATGTTACAGTGCTTTTAGGAAGGCACTAGGGAGCTATAGCATACAGAAGGCATGTGTTGTGGAAGCTCTTTGGTAAATAATAGTTGGAGTTTATTGGAAAACATTGTTTTTGCAAAAGGATTCATTAGGCTCCCCTGTTGGCACTGGGAGCTATTGTTTCATTAGTAAATACATAGCCCAAATGTGTACATATTATTTCTTTGGAGCAGTAGTAGCAAATACCTTGTCTAGGATTCTTATGTTGTTGTACGAAGAAATACACTTGGAAAAGTGGCAACAACATGCTCATCAGTTATGATGCTAACTCAGTCAGTGGAGCAGGTAGGCCAACTACAGATACTAAAACTGAAATCTGAATGCTACCAAAATCTTGTGGCAGCCAGAAGATCAAGGCTATTAACACAGAACAAAAAAACATGCCCTTAGTACCACCAGGTACTCTTATTTTATTTTTTTTTTCTTTTTAAAAGAGAAAGATTTTTGCCACAGGACATATGCATTTGCCAGAGAGACAGAAAGCAAGAAATCACTCCCTGGGGGAAATGGCCATACTGCAATCCCTTCTCCTCCATTCTCTCGGGATTTTGGGCATGCACGCACACACACACCCAGCGTGAGCTTCAAACCAACAGGTCTAGGACTAGCATTATGGTTGACTCGTGGGAGTCTAGTGATGCAACCACTACACCACCTGCTGGTCCCTCACCAGGCACTTTTAAGCTGAGAAATAGCCAAACTTTCAGTGCAAGAATATTAGATCCACAGGGGATATCAATGTGTGTGTTCCCATTTTATGTGGCTGCTTCCTGAAGGCCTCCCAGATTTGTCCACGAATATTTTCCTCTAGGTTAAGGTTAAGATCAATAACCTTTCCTATCATTCATAATGCAGGAAAATGGTATACACTGTATATACTTGTTACGTGACAGTGCTGTCAGGATGAATGAATTCACCATGGCTTTATATTAAACTATCCAAAGGAATACCACAACCTTTACTTCCTAATTCCTCTATCCATTATTTCATTTGAAAAAATTTTATTATGTTTCTACTATGTGCAAAGTCCTTGATGCCACAGCTGAAATGTCCCATTTTTTTTTCTTTAATGCAGATGACTTTGATGAAGATCCCTTCCGTTTCGCTCCCTTGTGTTGTGCCTAATTGTGTAACAAGAATATTGCCTGTGGAAATCAAAATTAATTATATTCACAAATAAAGATTTTTTTCAATATATCTCAATAGAGATACTCACCTCCCCACAGCCCCGGATTGGGGGAAAATGTTGAATTTGTGAAGCAATCTACTCCAATCTCATATTTTAAATATCTTGGAAGAGGCAGAATGACATAACATCTGGTGAATATTAAAGTCAGAATAATTCTCCTATTTATTGTTATAGTTGTTTCTTTTGGGGAGAAAAATATAAGCCTGTAGTTAAGATAGATTAGGGGAGAAATATGTACAGCAGTGGTGATTTCGTTTCAAAAATTTAAGTGTACATATCCTAAAAGAAAAAGATCAGGATCAGGGTCCTTACTGCCCTACCTCGGGAGCCAAACAATTTCAGGTGGCCAAAGTTTCAGGATACCCAACTGGCTTGACACCCACCAGTGAAGCAGATAGGAAGAACCACAAGGTCATACCTTTTGGGAAAAAAACACAACTCGGAATACAAACCCCCAAACCAAAGCAAGTCTGCTCTGCTGGCCTGTCATGACAAAGCACCTGAAATCTCCATTATTCAAGTCACACTTTTGATTGAAGTTCTTTATTAAAATGTAAACATGTTTTGGGGAAAGGGTGGCTCATCAATCCACAGACATCCATGAATTCCTTAGGGGGATTAATTTCTCAGCCAAGACAGCCCCTTGGGGAACAGAAAGCAGAGTCCTTAGGAACGTAACGAAAGAGAAACTTTCTGAAGCTGGTGGCTTTTCCTAGGAAGGAAAGGACAGGTCAGGGTGAGCAAGACAGTAGGGAACATGGATGTGCGAGAAGGGTCACTCAAAGGCCACAGAGTGAACAAGGAAGGCAAATTTTGCCTGTTTTGTGTTCTGTGAATACTGCCACTGAGGCTTCCCAGCCAGGCATGTCACTCTCATTTGGCCTTGGGTAGAAACCAGGAAAAGAAATGAGTATTATACAAATATATACAAGCAACTGGTATCACGGGTTAACTTCTTCTCAAGGAAGAGAGGTTTACTTTTCACACTACACCTCTTTGTATCTTTGGAATCTTACACTGAGAAAATAGATTACCTCTTGGAGGAATAAATAAAAGAATACATAAATAAAGATAAACAGACCCTTCTGATGAGAAAGATTAACTCCTCTTTTGATTGAAGTTCTTTATTAAAATGTAAACATGTTTTGGGGAAAGGGTGGCTCATCAATCCACAGACATCCATGAATTCCTTAGGGGGATTAATTTCTCAGCCAAGACAGCCCCTTGGGGAACAGAAAGCAGAGTCCTTAGGAACGTAACGAAAGAGAAACTTTCTGAAGCTGGTGGCTTTTCCTAGGAAGGAAAGGACAGGTCAGGGTGAGCAAGACAGTAGGGAACATGGATGTGCGAGAAGGGTCACTCAAAGGCCACAGAGTGAACAAGGAAGGCAAATTTTGCCTGTTTTGTGTTCTGTGAATACTGCCACTGAGGCTTCCCAGCCAGGCATGTCACTCTCATTTGGCCTTGGGTAGAAACCAGGAAAAGAAATGAGTATTATACAAATATATACAAGCAACTGGTATCACGGGTTAACTTCTTCTCAAGGAAGAGAGGTTTACTTTTCACACTACACCTCTTTGTATCTTTGGAATCTTACACTGAGAAAATAGATTACCTCTTGGAGGAATAAATAAAAGAATACATAAATAAAGATAAACAGACCCTTCTGATGAGAAAGATTAACTCCTGTGTCTCAATACCATAAACCAAGTTCCCATTCCCCTTCATAATAATTATGGTACAGTGGGCTGTGGAGACAGCAGAGCTGGGTTCAAATCCCAGCTCTGTCATTTTCTAGGCATGTGACCTTGGGAACCAATGGTTAATGACCCCCAGTCATTAACCATTCAGTCCCTGTGGCCCTACTTACCAAGTCTACCCTATTAAATGCACCATATTGGAGCCTCTAAGCAAAAATCAGTATAGTGAAGAGAAGTGTGCACTCCCATGTTTATTGAAGCACTGTTCACACTAGCCAAGATAAAAAATCGATCTAAGTGCCAAACAATGGATGAATGGATAAAGAAACTATGGTTGAAATATTATTCATTAATAAATAAGGATGAAATCCAATCATTTGAGGTAACATGGACAAACTTAGAGGAGATAAAGCCAAGTAAAATAAACCAGACACTGAAAGACAAATGCCATATGTTCCCACTCACTAGTAGAAGCTAAAAGATCTGATTGCATAGAAGAGGAAAGAGGAAACTGTAACAATGGATACCAGAAGCTAGAACGATGAGGGGGTGGAGGGATGGGGAGAACTTGGTTAACATACAAAAGTTCAGATAAATAAATAGATAAGCTCTATAACACAGTATAGTAACTGTAGTTGGTGTATATTTTCAATGTATATTTCGAAATAGCTAGGAGAGTGGATTTTGACTGTTCACAACACGAAGTAATGATCAGCCGTTGACTTCAGGAAGAGAAGTTGGGCATCCTCATGCAAGCAAGGAAGGGAGGTTTGAGAAGGTGAATATGTTTATTTAATTTGATTATGACACACTAATTTGATCATTACACAACATATATATAACAACTTATACTCTAAAAATGCACACAGCCATTACATGTAAATTAGAAGTTATTTTTTATAAAGTAGATAGGTCCTTAGGCCCCTGGATATCTGCCATCATAGTCAGTTCTCTTGCCTAAGAAATTTTGTCTTGGCTTTACTTGTTCCCACTTAATATACACCAAATATCTGCATTTTATAGCAGAAACGGAAAGATTATGAAGAATAATAGTTGTACTAGCGACAGTATAGGAGAGGATGGGTAATAGTGGGTAGTAGGGGGTGAGAGGGAGGGGATCAGAGGACAAAAAACATTTAATAGACACAAAAGTGAAAAGTTATCTGTTGATGATAATGTATGTAGCAATGTCTTTGACTTTGATAATATACACTGTATTCATGCTGGGAAAAACCATGCTGTACATTGTGAAGATATACAGTGATGTATAGTGCTGTAAATTAAAAATATATATATGAAATACATTTTTAAAACAATGTCAAAGCATTTTTATCTTAAGGAAATCCCACATCTCCTCTTCTCCATATGTCTTCATGCATTTTCTTTTTTTAGAGAGGAAGGTGAGTGTGTGTGTGTGTGTATGTGTGTGTGAAGGGACTAATATAAATAACGTTACAGGTATTTGAACTGACAACATTAAGTCACCTTCATTCAAAAATAGATTTAAGGACAAGACTTGGTTGTAGGTAGCAAATCTACAAACATATGCATTCTGCCAAGGGCTTGATTTAGGGGATCATTTTGGCTGTTAAAACACACATGACTGTAATTTTTAACAAGTAATAGGATGCTGATTGTTCTGCTGCTGCTGGAGTGATGAATGTACAGCCTGTGCCTAATGACCCAATTTGCTGTCAAGAAGAGAAAAGTTATTTTATAGAAAAGTTCATGATTCCTGTCATGACTCCACCTGTTAATTAGTAAAATAAGAGTTTTCTGCAATTTATATGACAGTTTGAAA